GTCTTCCTTCGTTCACTCATTGAGGCACAACCAGAAGGCCTTTGACAGACCCGATGGTGGACTGGACGGTGTATGCTTGGTCATCGCTCGCCTCAACACTCAATACATCACGCCCAACCGAATAGACTGGTAAACGTGAGATGTGACACTTGTCCTCTAGAGCACACACATCCTGTACCCTGAAGACTGCACGAAGATTTGTTGAAGCACTACATATGGACAGTGTAATTTGGTTGATTCATTACAAACAAATTGACAAACTATTGTACTTAACTTAACTTGACCTTGAACAGTCCTGTGTTTATGATCTGCTGAATTAAGTGACTCACTCCACATGACAGTGAAAAAAACTAAAGTCGATATTCAGTTAGATCGGGAAATTTCTCAAGTAGTTGTGCCTAGTTGTTATCAGGTTTTTGCGCCCTGCCGTAGGCACCCGTAGAGAACAGAGCCTAAAAAGCTGCCATATAAATCCTTTCTGTCTTACACTGTGTGGATGTTCAGCAACTGGGGAACATATTCCTAACTGAGACTGCGTAGCTCCTAATCTCACTCCCCAAATGTGAGATGAGACGTGCGAACAGATTTTGCGTTTATCTGCAAATACCATCACTAAGCCATCAACCCATCTAATGTTCCCTGACGGTATGACAGGTTCTGGGAGCTTCAGTCGAGATTCTGTCACACACTTGGGGTCCTTCTTTGCTGTTAGCCGAGAGGCACTGTACGGTTGCTTCATCCCTATTGGGAGACACTAAAATGTGCATCTCGCGAAACTCCAGTGGATTTTGAACCCGATAGTAGTTGAAGACTAATTTATTTGGCAACGATCAGCTGGTCAGAAGTGTCACTAACTTGTTATTTTGCTGCCCTGTCCAAGCAATCTTTCAATAACAGTTACCTTTAAACCGATTTAAATGTTCAATCCACATAGTGGTTGACTTGGATATTCTCAGGATACCACCTGAAATGCTGAACAATAGCTATAAACGCATCTGCTCACTTTGGTGTTGAAAAGTCGCAGACGTAGTCCGTATGCTTAAAATCAGCCAAAACTGTGCAAAATGTTTTCTGGACGATTGAAGCGAGAAGGGGGCGAATTTACTGAACGGAAGGTCCGTGCTTCGAAACTGACCTCCGTCTCTCGACTCCCTCTGTCTAGGCTTGGGCAACCTGGCAGTATCCCATTCCTCTTGCAACCTTCCGGTGGCATGGCAGAAGCGAGAATCCATCAAAAACGTTGGAAGACAGTGATCAAGGAAATTGTGTTTTTGTGGGGAAAGTTGGACCCGAATTTAGACACATGATTTTAACGCATTCCTTGAACATACTGTAATCTAAGCTAAAAAGCAATCTCTGTGGAAACTAGGAAGTTTGGCAACTGCTACTAGTTTTTTCAACAGAAGATCGTCCGTGGTGAATTTGGGTGGACTCGTCCAACCGAGTTGGCTGATCAACATGCTAAATTACGAGATTGACTGACGTTGGAAGTTCTTGGACAGCTGAGATCCACCAGCTCGAGTGTCACATCTCTGGATCTTTGTCCTCTTGATGCTCAATAATTCGTTCAGGTTCTCTATACAGCTAAATTCCACTGTCTTCAGTCCACCAGAAAGGATTTGGTGACCTGATGTTTTCGAACCCAATAAACAACCAACGAGGGAAACTTGCTCTTCAGTGTTTGTGTAACTGCCATTTAGGCAATCAACCAGTTGCTTCTCTATCTGCTTAGAAAATATTTTTGGCGCATGAATCGTTCCGAGACGCAGTTATTGATTCCACATATGAATCCATCTTCATAGGCCTTTTCCACATTCAATGCTGTTTACATAGTCTAATACGAAATACTACACCCCGTACCAGGTGTACAACATTTTACGCCAGAGTTACATGAGGGACTTTGCGCACTCTTCATCATCTCGGATGTTTTTACTCCAAAACCTTTCTGACCATTTGGAGTTGTGGAACAAGAAATAGGCGTTCACTGTTGGCACTCAGTGTGATTTTTCTTCTTCGCTGTTTACAGCGAAAAAGTTTACAGTGACTTCACACTTCTTTTTGTTACAAACGATCAGCTATATTTAAAGAAAAACTATCCGAGATTGGTACAGTAATAAGAAACAACAGTATAAGGTGTATAATGCGTTATTATATGGCTTCTCATAATGAATTGTTGCTTGATTGACCTCGCAAACAAGAAGATTTCCAGGAAGTTTTGCTTGCCCCCTGAAATTCTGTGCACAGATAACTTGAATATACAAGTGTATATAAACAAACAGTGACCCATTCCCCTAGAAATCACTTGTGGATAACAACGACGTTAGTCCCTTCAAACTGGGCGTCCTTCGTGTGAACTAATCAATAATTCAAATGTCTATCGCTACGCATATACACACTATATACCTAGTGTGTTGGTGCAGTCGCGCTTTTAAAGTTTGGTCTTAGTCATGGACGCATCAGAAACTCGCCTTCAGAAAGTTGACGTTCCTCGAATTACGGCCAAATTACACAACAGTGTTCAAATCCGATGGTCACGTGGTTCAATACACTTGCCAGTTTTGGCCAGATGGTTTCGATTTCCATCAAGTCATTAGTACCTAATTGTTGTTCGGTGCATTCTGAACATGCGCTACGCTTGTCGTACTTTGCCAGTTAATTTCCTTGCACAAACTTCCTTTTTGTAACTTATCTCTAGCATAGCTCAGCTTGGCATAATATCGTGATGCTCTCCTTGTTACGTTGAACTGTGCACTATACACAAGTGGTCTTAAAGAACGCCTGAAAAAGCGGATAGTGGAGAGTCTTGGTCACAGGGCTGTTCCGTTAGATAGTGAAGCAATTTGGTGAACACGAACCTGTCTCTACACCCAAATGGCTGCCCCGTAATCCATAAACCTCTCCATGTTCTTGAGTTAACTGAAGCTAATTGCTCTCGAGATCAAATGGCACCATAATCAAGCCAACATATCCTGTTAGGTTTCGACCCTAAGTGTCTGGCTTGGCGCTTGCACGAGAGCGCAAAAACATAGAACAAGGCACCTGATGTCAGCGCAAGACCCCTGAAACAGGGTCACTCATAAATTTGTTTACCTCAAACTTTGTAACCCACTTAGAAGACAGCCTATGCGCGGTTGCGTTTTAGGTGTGGGTAGAACAAACCATACATGACACTATCTAGCCAAATCATTCTAGAGGTTGGCTGAAAGCCAGAAGACAGTAAGAAGTTAGTAGGGTTAGCTTTGCAATATTCCACGAATCTGTGACGCCTAGTGCACTGATAATGCACTCAACGTGATAGTGACTCAAAGAGTCGCCTAACATGTAATAGCCTCCTTTAGGAGGGTCTGGCTACAGTGCGCAGGGAACCGCGCCATGCTCTAATCCGGGACAAATCTGATCGGTTCGTGAGTATAACTCATTGGAAGTGTCACCGAAGTAGTGAGTTACTTGTCAATTCAGATCATAGGCAAACGGCCTTTTCCCGTGAAGCAAGCCTGGCGCGCAAAACTAAGAAAAACTACCACTACTACCTGCAAAATTGGGAGTTATTCACAATGTGGATCACCCGTCTGTGTCCAGACAGTTGAGTGTTCCATCGCTGCCCACTAGGTTGCGAATTCGAAACCCTTTGACTTTGAGGGACACTCTGCCGATAATTCTCAACAACGATAAAATAGGTGTACGGTGCTTCTGGGCTAGACGGAACAGGCTGATTTCACCTAAAGGACACAAGCTCTATTGAAAACTGCAGAAAGCCTGATCCCACTCTGCTTTTGATGATCTTTTTAACGTGATTCCCCTTGGATTTCAAACCGTTAACTGAGCATAAGTCTATCACGACTTGGCAAACATTTTCAGGTACTAATTAACTCTTGATTCTCATCTGGCCGTCTTAAACATACCCAGGGGCAAACTGGAAAGCACAGCGTACTTTGGATTCAATCTCTGCTGATGCTCGAAGCATTTCTAAAACAGGCATATAGAATCCACTGAGGTTTCTCCTGGCTCCGCTAACGTATCCTGGTGACCCAGCTGCCCCTCAGGCCGGTTCCATCCATAGAGTAGCTGTTTGTGGCTATCATGCTGATGATGCTTAGTCAAACTGTGTGCCCGTCTGCACACGCGCTAACAAACCAAGTCCAAAAACCAAATTCGCGTCAAACTGATATACCATGAAGTCCTAAAGGGAAGCTCATATCCGCCAGTTTAAAGATTGTGTTTTGATGTTGCTCTAGCCTTTAGTCACGGGATGGTCTCCAAACTTGTGCTCATCTAGCAGATTGAGGATACAAAAATTCTAAAAGTTAGACGATTGGAGGAATGAAGTTTGGTAAGACACCCGACGATTCATGTTGGCTGAACGTAGACAACTCAAGATGTAGTGTCTGATCTTGTTTTTAACCTGTACCTATTTATCGCTTGTGAAAAACAATGTTTTGGGATCCGCTTTGGAGTTAGAAAAACCGAGAAAAACGCAAAATCTGTCAGGGCGAAAAATGTCGAAGCAAGTTGTGAAAATATTTTGTGTTTTCAGCCACTTCCGTCCAGATTACTCAACTGATTACCGGTGATGCACGATCACTAGGTTTTCATGTAGGCTAGTACCAGACCCACTCTCATGTATCTTTCGGGTTAAGGAAATTTACCTGATCATTTGGGAACGTTTGTACGTCACCAACGTTTCTTTTCCTCCACTGATACTTTTGTCAGCGATCATAATGTTAGAAGGGCTAATAACTCGGTAGTTTTGAAAATAATGCTATTCGGACAAACTGTGCACCAAAGTTTGCCGATAATCTTTCCAGGCGCCCAAAGGTTCAGACACACGCAAACTCCGATGACGTTTACGTAGTATGTAAAGCCGCAATTCCTTGCTGGAAGGTCCGGTTTAGTTTAGAAAACAGTCTTGGAATACTGTGGACAACAAGATTGCTCAGTTAATGGAGGTTTCAGACCGCCTTAGTTTTGTTTTTGTTATTGTGTATTCTTCAAACATTCAGGTGATATTCACGGTCAGTATTCAGATCTACTCCGTCTGTTCGAGCTCGGTGGCTGGCCGCCCACTTCCAACTACCTATTCCTCGGAGACTACGTGGATCGAGGCAAACAGAGTTTGGAAACAATCTGTCTACTGCTTGCCTACAAAATACGCTATCCGGAAAACTTTTTTCTTCTCCGTGGCAATCATGAGTGCGCAGCAATAAATCGTATCTATGGATTTTATGATGAATGTGAGTCATTGGAAAAATTTCTCGACAGTGTGAAGTATGTAAGATTTTGTAACAGTGAGCATTGGAGTTATGTGTTGCGAAGCTGATTGAATTTTTCGGTGTGGCTTTGATATCTTCATCAGAAATCAACCGAGGGTATCAGAAGAAAATATAAAAACCAACAATATTTATATTGAGGCATTCCCCTGGAGGAAGTGATGAATCAATGGTATATCGTTAGCAGAGATGAAAGCAGCTGGTACCAGTGTGGTGGATTGCTTGCTGTATTCAAAATGTATGCAAATGTTTAGCTTGTCTGGGGGTTGATAACTGTGGGCGTTGCTGTATTACCACATTAAATATGCCAAGAAATACTTGCGTAATATCTGTGCAACGGCGGGAAACTCTATCAAGAACTGAGAGTCGTAAAAAGGCAGACATTTAAGTAGTTGGCACAGCTAGATCCAGTAAGTTTTTATTGTCAATAAGAGTCACGTTGCAGAAGGTAATCGATTCTTAAAAATTCACCATCCTTAAAAATCCTAAATGGTAAACATTTTGTGAGAATGATCCCTCTTAAGCTGCCCTAATCCCTGCTAGCATTCTAGTGTACGCGGTATCATAGTAGGTATATCGCACGCCCCTTCGTTGTATCCAATTTCGCCTCAGCTTTAAACAAACCATCAGCGCATTGTTTGATCACAGTTTTACTGCTGCCGTACAACGCATAACACAGCCGATTCTGCTGTGAGCCAGTCGTTCTCGAGTTATCGATACCTTTGAAACCCATGTCGTCGATCCTTCTACCAACAGTTTTGGCATACTGGATCTCTGTCTCTTCCAAAACACAAACAAACATATCTTGAAATATTCGAGGGCGACCATCTAGCTGGTAATCAAGCTCTGCCAATCAAGAGACTTCTTCTTCATATCGGCCATTCATTCACGTTGATTACATTTCTAATATTCATCCACCAACGTCTGGCTCAAAATCACGTATTTCTCCGGTTCGCCTATTTTACTTGGTTCAGTTACTGCCTTGCCGAGTTGTATGTGCACCGCACGATTTAGTCGTCAACTAGTGAGACTAGAAATAAGTAGTTTATTCCCACTCCAATCTTCTTTCTGTCCTAACTAAATCATTCTGTCTGTCTGTCGCTTGCCGACTTTTCGTTTATTGGAGAAAACACAAACGTATGAAGCCAAATCAGTTCCACTACTCACAAACGACCGCTGGGAAATCCATTTGATTAGACCAGTTTGGTAGTTAGAGATTAGATCCGCTGGGTGCCGAATACCGGCATCGCCTTAGCGAAAATCGATTGAGCGCTGCTGTAAAAAATGGATAAGCGCTGTCTCGGAATCCACTGGGTAACCAGAAACATCACTTTTGATTGCTGAGTACTGAAAGTCTGATGACGTCAAATGTTGAATTTCAGTCAAACACAGCTTACTTCATTGGTGCACATCTAAGTGTTCCGGTGTTGTATTTTCATTTTTGATTGGGTTATAACTCGGTGCATATCCTTAAAGACAGCCCAACACTTACCTTGACAGACACGTGTGGCTTAGGGGGCTTTGTTACTCACGTAGTTCATGATGTTGATGACGTAGAGGTTGTGCTCGGATTCACTCGATGCAATGAATGTAAGTAAATTCTTGTGACCTGACTTAGTGGAGCATGCATGACACAATCGAACTCCGCAAAAAACGCCGTACTACTCTTCATCTAAAGAGTCTTTCAAAAGTAATTACTTCCAACCTAGAAACAACAAAACGGACAGATTCAGCTGGGTTCTAGGTGCGTCCACCGCAAAACCGAAATTGTTTGCAAATAAGTGTTACTTATAATCAGCTTTTGAATCTCTGGAAGACTGTCAATATCAGCAAGTCACTGATGCAAGCCGAAATGTCCAGTTATGTCCACTCTCTATGAATCTATAATCTTATCTCTTAACATGCGGAAAGGCATTTCCGTGGAAATTCTTGCCAGCCGACATAAAGGGGGAAAGCTGGACAAACTTCCCTTACGTTTGTTAAAAGTTGTTTGACAACCGTGTTCACTGCTCTCGGTGTTCATCACTCTGTTTCCATCAGCCGTATGCTGTATTTGAAAGCCGACATTTAAGTATCTTGCCTTAAATGGACTGCTCCCCAAACCGAGCAGGTTTTGCGTTCCCTGCGATGCACCTGGCTGACCTAAGTTCATGGACTCTGGAGAATATGAAGCAAACATTACACAGAATGGTTTTATTGTTTACTTTACCGATTTCGACCCGGACATTTTGGATAGCACGTTTAGCAATGTTTTCAGGTGACCGGTAAATCTCACAGTAAAGTGGCTGCGTGATTGCTTGAATAGGTTGATTAGGTGTTGCATACCATTTCTAAAAATATCCATATAGAAGGAGTTCGCCCCATTACGCTATTAATTTTATACTGGTCGTATCCGTTTACCAACTAAAACAGTGTGTCAGTGTCCAGTATCACATTGAATGCGTTGTACGGGGGAACTCTACATATGTGACCTTCCGTCCAGCTGGTAACTAAGATCGAAATCGCCTTGGGTATGATTTTCCGCGACCAGACAAGACGTGGAAATCAGCCCACAGTCAGGAGTCAGACACTGAGTTCAGTTTGACACGGACAGCATTAATTTATCAAACTGAGAGCATGTGTATTGTAAGCAGACTGAGTAGTTTCAATCATTCACGTTGAAAAACCTCTCTAGCCAGATTGCAGCACATCCGTTTTCTCCACCCTTGGTATAGTGTGGGTTTTGGGGAGCGGGATTGAACACTGAGCGTCACTCAACAAACATTTATGGAAGTCCTAACTGGAACTTGTTAAGTGGACCATTATAAGACATTTAAACTTTTGAATATCTCTATGGGAGCATAATACCGATCATGATAGAGGCTTTGGTCAGGAATTATTGAATTATACAACTCGGCTTTGCTTAATGAATCACCATTGAAAACCGTCTGATGCTAAGCAATACAGTTTAATTTTTGATTGTATCCTGGATCGGATACTGGGAAAGAAATTGGGAGTGATTTTAGGGAGAAAAGGTGTCAATATCGAAGGTTCCTTATGTGGAGATGAGCCGATTGGCCACAAAAGTTCAGACTGCCCATCAGAATCGGCGCTAGATAATCTAGAACGGGAAGCAATGCAAAGTCACTTCAGTTCCGTGAGGAAAGTACATCTGTATGAATAATTTCAATCGATGGGCCGCTTCAAGCAACCAAAAGGTTTGCCTCTTTGAGTTGGGGACCTCCTTGGGGAAATATGTTTCTGGGTGTCACGCAGCATTCATATATCACAACTACGCAATCACTCTTGGTGTTAAATCTTGATGTCAGTGGCATTTATTAGAGTGGAGCAGTAAATCTGTGCGCTCGTAACGGGACGCTCATCTTGGAAAGCGGAATGGAGTTTATGCTTGCGGATGACATCCTCAGATAATTTAGAAAACTGGCCGTGTTTTCTTCGTTTTTACTACCTTTGATATCTTCCAGAGAGACGATTTCCCAGAAAACGCCATATTAGATTGTAGTTTTACTTTATTTAGGCCAGCAACATATTGTGCATACATCCTGTATCACAAAATCTAAAATGACGTTTGTAAATTTGATTTCATACAACCGATAACCGTGAACTTTAAAAATGAACTTTCATCTGATCGTTCTCGAGTTATCGATACCTTTGAAACCCATGTCGTCGATCCTTCTACCAACAGTTTTGGCATACTGGATCTCTGTCTCTTCCAAAACACAAACAAACATATCTTGAAATATTCGAGGGCGACCATCTAGCTGGTAATCAAGCTCTGCCAATCAAGAGACTTCTTCTTCATATCGGCCATTCATTCACGTTGATTACATTTCTAATATTCATCCACCAACGTCTGGCTCAAAATCACGTATTTCTCCGGTTCGCCTATTTTACTTGGTTCAGTTACTGCCTTGCCGAGTTGTATGTGCACCGCACGATTTAGTCGTCAACTAGTGAGACTAGAAATAAGTAGTTTATTCCCACTCCAATCTTCTTTCTGTCCTAACTAAATCATTCTGTCTGTCTGTCGCTTGCCGACTTTTCGTTTATTGGAGAAAACACAAACGTATGAAGCCAAATCAGTTCCACTACTCACAAACGACCGCTGGGAAATCCATTTGATTAGACCAGTTTGGTAGTTAGAGATTAGATCCGCTGGGTGCCGAATACCGGCATCGCCTTAGCGAAAATCGATTGAGCGCTGCTGTAAAAAATGGATAAGCGCTGTCTCGGAATCCACTGGGTAACCAGAAACATCACTTTTGATTGCTGAGTACTGAAAGTCTGATGACGTCAAATGTTGAATTTCAGTCAAACACAGCTTACTTCATTGGTGCACATCTAAGTGTTCCGGTGTTGTATTTTCATTTTTGATTGGGTTATAACTCGGTGCATATCCTTAAAGACAGCCCAACACTTACCTTGACAGACACGTGTGGCTTAGGGGGCTTTGTTACTCACGTAGTTCATGATGTTGATGACGTAGAGGTTGTGCTCGGATTCACTCGATGCAATGAATGTAAGTAAATTCTTGTGACCTGACTTAGTGGAGCATGCATGACACAATCGAACTCCGCAAAAAACGCCGTACTACTCTTCATCTAAAGAGTCTTTCAAAAGTAATTACTTCCAACCTAGAAACAACAAAACGGACAGATTCAGCTGGGTTCTAGGTGCGTCCACCGCAAAACCGAAATTGTTTGCAAATAAGTGTTACTTATAATCAGCTTTTGAATCTCTGGAAGACTGTCAATATCAGCAAGTCACTGATGCAAGCCGAAATGTCCAGTTATGTCCACTCTCTATGAATCTATAATCTTATCTCTTAACATGCGGAAAGGCATTTCCGTGGAAATTCTTGCCAGCCGACATAAAGGGGGAAAGCTGGACAAACTTCCCTTACGTTTGTTAAAAGTTGTTTGACAACCGTGTTCACTGCTCTCGGTGTTCATCACTCTGTTTCC